ACGCCACAATCCCTTCTCCTCCATTCTCTTCTTGGGATCTTGGGCACGTATGCACACGCGCCCGGTGTGAGTTTAAGCCACCGGGTCTGGGACTTGAACTGCAGTTGACTACATGGGCGTCCAGCGACATAGCCATTACGCTAACTGCTGGTCCCAACAGATAATTCTTTAGGGGGATTAAAAAAAAAAAAAAAAAAGAAGTCCTCGGGAAATAGAGAAGGTGGCAGGCAGCATCTAGAGGGCCGAATCTCTGAAAGGCCTGAGGTCTCTCCACATCACCTCTTGACCCCAGGGGAAGGGTACAAGGACAGGAATACCAAACAGTCTGACGAGGAAGTGAGGCAGAGAGAGCCTGTGTCCCCCTTCCGCAGAGAGAGCCTGTGCCCCCCTTCCGGGCTGGGCCTGTGTCCACACTGCTGCAGAGGGAAGCATAGGTATGGCAAATTTTGCAGAGAATTAGCTAGAGATGGTGCCCCGAATCACCTTTAGTCCCCTGTGACAGAGAAGGGGTACAGGAGTGCTCAAGTGCTCCCTGTGGGGGTGAAAAAGTAGCCAAGAGAAGGACCTAGACTCGCCATGGATCACAGAGCCTGGGAGAACATGTGTGCAAGAGCCCGACCCTGCCAAGCTGAGCCAGCCAGGCTCATCAGAATGCCTGGCAGAAACCTCCCTCCTCTGGAGTCAGAGCTGAGGCCTCGCCTGTCTCCGCTGGGGTCTCACTTGGGCTAGAAAGGGGCTCACAGAGAAGAAAGCAAAGCTGAAGAAAGGAGAGTCCCTGAGTCCCTGGCCTAAATCCAGGTCTGAGGCAAACATGCCCCAGGCTGTTCGGGTCTGTCAGTCAGAGTGAACTGAGTCCTCTCCCACTTAGGCAGAAGGGCTCCTACTGACCCGGGCAGGGAGGGGCTTAGGGAGCTGGGGGTAGAGCGCAGAAGGGCTCCTACTGACCCCGGCAGGGAGGGGCGCAGAGAGCTGGGGGTAGAGCGTGGAGTTAAGTGAGGACAATGAGAGGGGACTGTCTAGGACAGGAAGACAAAGTGCTGGCAGGTTGGGCAGAATATAGCCCTTGCCGGCCAGGTGGGAGAGTCCCTGATGCAAAAGGGGGCAGTGACAGAGGGTTCTGCTCACGAATCGGGAGAGGCCTGCGCTGCGTGGGGGAAGACAGCATAAGGGGAGGTCGGCGGCGTCCTGAAGCAGACACATAAGGAAGGCATGTCAGGTGGCTAGAGCGGCGACACCACAGGGACCCATGAGGTGGCAGCTGGGAAGAGGTAGCATTTGATGGAGACACGCTGATTTCGGGTGAAGTTCTGAGCCGAAAACTGGGGAGCAGGTGGAAATATGGGTGAACTGTCTGGGTCAGGTGGGTGGATTTGAGAGCCCTCTGTAGAAAGAGGAGGTGGCGTGAGTTGGTCCCCCTGGCAGCGCACCTCAAAGCTGAATACCGCAAATACAGGAGCTCTTCTGCCCATGGCCGGTTAGGCCAGCGCGCGTAGAGGCCACTACAGAACTGGAACTGGCAAAAGGCCTCCGACAATGGCTGTTACCGAGCATCGGCCGGAGCCCAGTGTTTGCAATGACCCACGAACACTGGATCGAATCAAGGACAAGCGCGCCTACCCGGAGTCTATCAGGGTGCGACTGCAATCAGCCCGGAGCGCGGTGGACCTTCAAGAGCGCGCCCCCAGGAAGCTGCGGGGCCGGGAGGGGCTGGCGGGCAGGCTGTGCACCCTTCCCAGGGAGCCTCGGGCCGTTGGAGACCGAGCAGCCGCGAGGGGTAGGGTTGACCCAGGGCCGGATGTGGTCCCTGCCGGAAGAGAAGCGTGGGATAGGCTGGGAGGGGCGGGGCGGCACGGTGGCGAGAATTGGGACAGTGTGGGTCGGTGCGGTAGCCCGCGGGTCCCGAATACACGCGCTCACACCCACAGG